CAGATTTTTTGGACTAACTTTTTACTGATTATCACACTAAATAATTAGCAATCATATGAGCGAAAGAAAGGCATAACTGTAAGAAATGATCATATCAGACAGCACGGCCGTACTTTTCGCCATTTCGGATGCTATGCAGTCTTACCCGTTTCTTGGCTAGTTTCTCTGAAAAAAGGACTGAACATTGTCTTTGGCTTAACGTAATGAGCGATTAAGACAAATTCTATTCTTTTTCGGGACTCGAAGCCATTAACTCTGGAATTTGAAGCAGCCTTCTTTACCACTATATCATTGCAAAAAGAGGTGGTTTGATGATATGGAAGAACTGTTATAATGGTGCTTCAGAACTAAACTTTGAAATTTTTGATTTGATGATATACCTGGAACACTCGAAAAGAAATCAGGGCTTCAAGAGTAAATACATGAATACTCTGCTGTTGTAGCGAAACATTTTTGCCTTAATAATAAATGTAACCTAGCAATCAACATTTTACTAATGAATCTTAAGGTGGACAAAGTTCGGTAGAGGTGGATTGATTTGAATGATTTTAGGATTTCATTGATTGGTTTAATAGATCTCATTGGCAGCTAGTTTATAACCGAACATATTACTACAGTTTTTAATTTTCATTATAATTTTCTCTGACACTTAATCTGCGCGTGCAAGTTAAACGTTGAACTGGAATAAATTTTATGAGATGATTGTTGCTTTTTTTTACTGATCGTGAACAATTTAGGGTAATCCAAGCTGCATTGCTTAAAAGCTATTAGATTTTATTTAGCTTTAGGATGCGTATTTTTCTGATTCTTCCGTTCCTCCTCACCAAATTTAATTTCGGGACCCAATTTATTACGCCGTAGAAGATCCATTTTTTCAGTTTTTTTCTATTCTGTGTTGTTTTTCCTGAATGTGCGGTGCTCGTAATTCCTTTCTCATATAATGGTCCTGTCAAAGGATTAATTTATTTTGGTACTGCATCTGTTTGATTTTGCCGGAAACGGATAATGTTTATCAGTGAAGACTGTGGTCACTGCAAGCCTCAGCCTTTTCCAGTCTTGGGAATTGAGAC